GCTACTTTCTCATCCGGACTCCAAATCAACTTGTTCCGGCGGCATTAGAACGCTATTTTAGCTGGCTACAATTCCTGTCTAATGTCAAATTTCCAAATTCGGACTCGAACATGGTCAAAATTAGATTCCAAAAGCGATCATGAAAATACGTGCTACAGTACGAGAACACGAATGCGCATCAAGAAACGTGCACAAAAACACACGCTACAAAATATACGCACACAAGTAAAAGTACAAAAGCATGCACAAAAGTACTCACGCAACAGTGCATTCGCAAAAAGGATCACGAAAACACAAACTACAATACTAGGACATTAATACAAATCAACAAACATGCACAAACACACTCGCTCAAATGGACATGCACAAACGTACATGTAAAAAAATATGAGCAAAAGTGCATTCGCAACAACGTTCTTAAAAACAAGAAATACAACACTAGGACTTTAATACGCATAACCAAACAATAGCAAAAACACTAAATACAAAAGATACAGTGGAGTGTAGAAATAACACTCAACGTTTACGTTTACGTGCAGTTTTTTATGGATTAATTTATATTTTTGTATTAATTGGTGGATTTAGTATCTTCTTATAGGTACAAATTGATAATAAGGTGTCCATGAAGCAAAAATGATCAAAGAGTACGAAAAGAGTTGCAATTAGGAAAATAAAATCAAATTAGAAGAGAGGATCCCTCAACATCTTCGGTAGTGTCCACGAAGTCGAGCATAACTTTCTCATCCGGACTCCAAATCAACTGGCTCCCGACCAATTAGAAACCTATTTTAGCTGGCTACAATTCCAATCTAATATCAAATTTCCAAATTCGGACTCGAACATGGTCAAAATTGGATGCAAAAAGTGATCATGAAAATACGTGCTACAGTTCGAGGACACGAATGCGCATCAAAAAACGCGCACTAAAACACTCGCTACAAAAGATACGCACGTAAGTAAAAGTACAAAAGCATGCACACAAGTACTCACGCAAAAGTACATTCGCAAAAAGGATCACGAAAACACAAACTACAATCCTAGGAAATTAATACAAATCAACAAACATGCACAAACACACTCGCTCAAATGGACATGCACAAACGTACATGTAAAAAAATATGCGCAAAAGTGCATTCGCAACAACGTTCTTAAAAACACGAAATACAACACTAGGACTTTAATACGCATAACCAAACAATAGCAAAAACACTAAATACAAAAGATACAGTGGAGTGTAGAAATAACACTCAACGTTTACGTTTATGTGGATTTTTTTATTGATTATTTATATTTTTGTATTAATTGGTGGATTTAGTATCTTATATGTACAAATTGATAATTAGGTGTCCATGAAGCAAAAATGATCAAAGAGTACGAAAAGAGTTGCAGTTAGGAAAATAAAATCAAATTAGAAGAGAGGATCCCTCAACATCTTCGGTAGTGTCCACGAAGTCGAGCATAACTTTCTCATCCGGACTCCAAATCAACTGGTTCCGGCGGCATTAGAAACCTATTTTAGCTGGCTACAATTCCTATCTAATATCAAATTTCCAAATTCGGACTCGAACATGGTCAAAATTGGATGCAAAAAGTGATCATGAAAATACGTGCTACAGTTCGAGGACACGAATGCGCATCAAAAAACGCGCACTAAAACACTCGCTACAAAAGATACGCACGTAAGTAAAAGTACAAAAGCATGCACAAAAGTACTCACGCAAAAGTACATTCGCAAAAAGGATCACGAAAACACAAACTACAATCCTAGGACATTAATACAAATCAACAAACATGCACAAACACACTCGCTCAAATGGACATGCACAAACGTACATGTAAAAAAATATGCGCAAAAGTGCATTCGCAACAACGTTCTTAAAAACACGAAATACAACACTAGGACTTTAATACGCATAACCAAACAATAGCAAAAACACTAAATACAAAAGATACAGTGGAGTGTAGAAATAACACTCAACGTTTACGTTTACGTGGATTTTTTTATGGATTAATTTATATTTTTGTATTAATTGGTGGATTTAGTATCTTCTTATATGTACAAATTGATAATTAGGTGTCCATGAAGCAAAAATGATCAAAGAGTACGAAAAGAGTTACAATTAGGAAAATAAAATCAAATTAGAAGAGAGGATCCCTCAACATCTTCGGTAGTGTCCACGAAGTCGAGCATAACTTTCTCATCCGGACTCCAAATCAACTTGTTCCGGCGGCATTAGAAAGCTATTTTAGCTGGCTACAATTCCTGTCTAATGTCAAATTTCCAAATTCGGACTCGAACATGGTCAAAATTAGATTCCAAAAGCGATCATGAAAATACGTGCTACAGTACGAGAACACGAATGCGCATCAAGAAACGTGCACAAAAACACACGCTACAAAATATACGCACACAAGTAAAAGTACAAAAGCATGCACAAAAGTACTCACGCAACAGTGCATTCGCAAAAAGGATCACGAAAACACAAACTACAATACTAGGACATTAATACAAATCAACAAACATGCACAAACACACTCGCTCAAATGGACATGCACAAACGTACATGTAAAAAAATATGAGCAAAAGTGCATTCGCAACAACGTTCTTAAAAACAAGAAATACAACACTAGGACTTTAATACGCATAACCAAACAATAGCAAAAACACTAAATACAAAAGATACAGTGGAGTGTAGAAATAACACTCAACGTTTACGTTTACGTGCAGTTTTTTATGGATTAATTTATATTTTTGTATTAATTGGTGGATTTAGTATCTTCTTATAGGTACAAATTGATAATAAGGTGTCCATGAAGCAAAAATGATCAAAGAGTACGAAAAGAGTTGCAATTAGGAAAATAAAATCAAATTAGAAGAGAGGATCCCTCAACATCTTCGGTAGTGTCCACGAAGTCGAGCATAACTTTCTCATCCGGACTCCAAATCAACTGGTTCCGGCGGCATTAGAAACCTATTTTAGCTGGCTACAATTCCTATCTAATATCAAATTTCCAAATTCGGACTCGAACATGGTCAAAATTGGATGCAAAAAGTGATCATGAAAATACGTGCTACAGTTCGAGGACACGAATGCGCATCAAAAAACGCGCACTAAAACACTCGCTACAAAAGATACGCACGTAAGTAAAAGTACAAAAGCATGCACAAAAGTACTCACGCAAAAGTACATTCGCAAAAAGGATCACGAAAACACAAACTACAATCCTAGGACATTAATATAAATCAACAAACATGCACAAACACACTCGCTCAAATGGACATGCACAAACGTACATGTAAAAAAATATGCGCAAAAGTGCATTCGCAACAACGTTCTTAAAAACACGAAATACAACACTAGGACTTTAATACGCATAACCAAACAATAGCAAAAGCACTAAATACAAAAGATACAGTGGAGTGTAGAAATAACACTCAACGTTTACGTTTACGTGGATTTTTTTATGGATTAATTTATATTTTTGTATTAATTGGTGGATTTAGTATCTTCTTATATGTACAAATTGATAATTAGGTGTCCATGAAGCAAAAATGATCAAAGAGTACGAAAAGAGTTACAATTAGGAAAATAAAATCAAATTAGAAGAGAGGATCCCTCAACATCTTCGGTAGTGTCCACGAAGTCGAGCATAACTTTCTCATCCGGACTCCAAATCAACTTGTTCCGGCGGCATTAGAAAGCTATTTTAGCTGGCTACAATTCCTGTCTAATGTCAAATTTCCAAATTCGGACTCCAATATGGTCAAAATTAGATTCCAAAAGCGATCATGAAAATACGTGCTACAGTACGAGAACACGAATGCGCATCAAGAAACGTGCACAAAAACACACGCTACAAAAGATACGCACACAAGTAAAAGTACAAAAGCATGCACAAAAGTACTCACGCAACAGTGCATTCGCAAAAAGGATCACGAAAACACAAACTACAATCCTAGGACATTAATACAAATCAACAAACATGCACAAACACACTCGCTCAAATGGACATGCACAAACGTACATGTAAAAAAATATGCGCAAAAGTGCATTCGCAACAACGTTCTTAAAAACACGAAATACAACACTAGGACTTTAATACGCATAACCAAACAATAGCAAAAACACTAAATACAAAAGATACAGTGGAGTGTAGAAATAACACTCAACGTTTACGTTTACGTGGAGTTTTTTATGGATTAATTTATATTTTTGTATTAATTGGTGGATTTAGTATCTTCTTATAGGTACAAATTGATAATTAGGTGTCCATGAAGCAAAAATGATCAAAGAGTACGAAAAGAGTTGCAATTAGGAAAATAAAATCAAATTAGAAGAGAGGATCCCTCAACATCTTCGGTAGTGTCCACGAAGTCGAGCATAACTTTCTCATCCGGACTCCAAATCAACTTGTTCCGGCGGCATTAGAAACCTATTTCAGCTGGCTACAATTCCTATCTAATATCAAATTTCCAAATTCGGACTCGAACATGGTCAAAATTGGATGCAAAAAGTGATCATGAAAATACGTGCTACAGTTCGAGGACACGAATGCGCATCAAAAAACGCGCACTAAAACA